TATCAAATCGCTGATCACCTCGTTGCCTATCGAGTTTCTCAAAGGAAGCGATTACGATAAGGAAGGGCCGCATCGGGGGAGTCTATGCGCCACACGAAGCAGTTACTTGGCTGCCAAGGAAGCGAAATGGTACTATTTTGCTTATTTTTGACGGATTTCTTTGCTTTTTTCGCCATTGGCGTACTATTGAGACCCCTCACGTCCCCTCTAAACCCCTGTGAGATCTATCGTAATCGCTGCCTTTAAGCAAACCCAGTCCCTCTTCGCCCCTTGTCACTTGCCGATGAGATAAGTGGATTCCGTCAGTGGTCCATCAGAAATATGTATAATGAGGTATATATTGCGTTATAGCTGACCTGTACACACGCAAGACGATCCATGTCTTTGTCTACTGCTCCATGCCATGACTCCAGCGCCAGATGCAAAGCAGTACGACCCAACTTGGAATATCGGTTGACGTCGGCGTTCAACTGAATTCAGAAACAACTGCGAGTTGAACCAATAGGTCGATTGTTGATCCAAGAATGCATAAACAATCAGGTTGCAGTCTTCGAGCCTAACTGACCTCGATCAGAGTTTCCGTACATTTTCGACGTCCATAGAATGCAGCCAGCAGCAACGGCGGGAAGCCATTGCCTGTGTCAGCGTTAAGTTGTTGCGGTCGTGATTGCAAGATCAACTCCATTGTTCTGAAAGTTTACTATACCATATAAAAGCTTCACGTCCATTGATCCATTGATAAGCACCTACTTATAGTAATCCTTCGATATCGCTATGTGTACTGGTGTGAGTTCGTCCTCGTTATAAAGGTGGAGATTCAGTCGCGCGTTGGCAAGCAGTCGTCCAACCATAGCAATTTTTGTTGGTGATTCGGGGAGACCACACACAATGTGCATAGGACTATCACCAGACACATTCTGAATGTTCATAACTGTCATTCTGCAAAATCGAATTCAAGATCATCTAGTTGACGTAAGGAACTGAGGAAAATGTCGTTGAAAATTGCAGTGAATAATTATAAATATCATTTAAAACGCAACCTTCGTGCAGGCTGAAACGTCCAGAAGGGGAGGTAGCTTGAAACGTGTGGAAGGCGCAAAGGGAGCATGATTCCGGTCCAGAGCACCCAGCGCAGCTAAATTTCCCTTTCGTCCCGCAAAATCTCCTCTTGCACAAGAACACTGGTTCAGCCCCCCTCGATTTTTTTTCGGGTGTCCCCCAACAGGCCCACCGCGCGGCGAAGCAAGAGACGCAGATGCGGCAAAGAGACGAGTTGCAGCGCGTGCTGTGCGATATGAGACGTAGTGTGGTACACTCTCTTTAACCTGACGCCTAACCGCTACAGTATGCGCTGCGACTCGTCCCTTTGCCGCGTCTGCGTCTCTTGCTTCGCGCGGTGGGCCTGTTGGGGGACACCCCGTTTCTTTCTAAATCTGAATCTGGTGATAACTTGTAGCGCCCCAACTGTGCCTTTGGATTAAGCAGCTACTTGGGATTAGAACCGGGTGACAACAGTTCGTGGTGATGACTGAGCTGCGGGACGGTCTGAAAGTGGAAAGGAAAGCTAGAGAAATCTTTGGGATCGCTGAAATAAGGCCTTAACCTTCAAAAAGGATGTGGAACGATGGCGAGGCAGGGCGGTCAAAGAAGACAAAACACGCGAGAGATCACGCCGTTCGAGAGAGCACGCCGATATCGAGGTGGGTGGGAAGGGTGCAACGGGTTTACGGGTTACTAGAACTTTCTTGTATGGTCCCGCCACAGGCGTTTAAAGAACGCGCCTGCTTTGCTCCAAATCTTCTGAAAGAACGTGGAAGTCCAGTTGAGCCTTGAACGAGGAGGGCTCCAGGGTGGCTGAGCCAATTACAGTGTGGCAAAAGTATGAATGTGTGAGATCACAGCAGTCACACAGGCGGAAGCACCAAAACTGAGCTTAACCCTTTCGGACCTGAATTTTTCCCCGTGGAGAAATTTTTCTTCTAGCTATTGTTTATTACTTGTGAGCATATAGGTATCATTATGGCGAAATTTGGAAGCTATTCGATCACAAACAAAGAAACTGAGAAGCTTTGAAAATTGGCCCACCTTCTTAGTTTTTAAGCTTATGTCGAAACAATTCGAAGTTTCATAGTTGTGCCGAAAAAGTTTATAATCTTTGCATAATATTATAACCCATAATTTTGATTTAGGAATGGATCCACTTCAAGTATTTTAAGACAAAGTCACACTTACTTGGCCGGTTGCGGGGGTCAGCGCCCATTCACTGTTGCACTTGTACACAAATACTTGCAATACTAACAGCAATAAACAATGAAATGGCCGGTTAAGCTCATAATTAGGAAGGGGAAGGTTGACTGAAGCAAACTCTAGCAGGATTAGAAAAACCATGCTGTTTCAGCGGAAATGCAAGCGTTTGAATTTGGTGGTGGCAATTGCCACCGCCAGGGCCGAAAGGGTTAAAAGAACTAGTTCAAGTAGTCCGTCGACCGCGTGCCACCGGGTCGATGTTACACAGCCCGTAGGCCAATTCTGGGGCGGTGGGGGGGGTGTGCGTCATATGGCGCGATCCCATTGGCATTGGAGCGCACAGGCCGTAATTACCACATCCTGCTGTGGCCGGACAACTCGTCCGCGCAACACATTCTGTTCCGTTCCTCTTGCCTTGGCATCAGGCCAGCGAAGCTATCCGCTCTTTTTAGATCCTTGGGACTCAGCGAGATTTTTGAGACCCAAATTATCAGATCGATCAATTACTGAAGTCTAGTAGTTGAGTGATACGGACGAGTTGTCCGCCAGCAGGATGGGGCAATTGCGGCCTGTGCGCTCTAATGCCAATGTGATCGCGCCATATGACCGCCTCCCATTCCGGGGTTCGCCTTTAAATGTGTCGTAACACTCATACGATTTCTTCTACAGTTTTTTTTTTCATTATTACAACGACCGATAAAAAATGATCAAACAATAACAGCTGGCTACAAAATTTGCCAGATATCGGTCATACTACGAACACTGCAGCTTTGGCAAAGACACCCATGGAACAGCATGAAGCCTACTTTGTTATGTGCGCAGCAACGTGAGGATGAATTGGTCAGTTATAAGTCAGCAAGCAATTACCACGATTGTCCATCAATATTTTTATTTTCAATTTTGTGAATGAAACTTCTCCACCTGCTGAGCTTTTCCAAAGGATACCTCGAGGTTATTTGCCCCTAATTTCCTACCTGGACATTGCTGTGCAAGTGATTAGTGTTGAGAAGCCTGTCTAGACAAGCGGCATGCTGCCCACGAGCCGCCAGATGCATTGGCATATCGCCATCGGCATTGGGTCGATTGACTTCATTTCCAAGAAACATCAGCAATCCCTCCAGTATCATCACATGGCCCCTGAAACATTGCAGATCTGAAATTTGGAGCGAAATTCGAACCTCTTAGATTGCAGAATCGAAAAGCGCACAAGAAATGAGTTCAAATTAAATCAGCTTTTGCTGGAAGGCGACAGGTAATCGCCATCAAAAAAATTTTTGAATAGAGGAGCCATCGCGCTAATCCACAAAGGGAACAAGGAACCGACTCAAATAGATCAACTCTGTACTAGTAGGGCGACGGGTAATCACATTAGTGCACGATTTCCGATTATTAGGCCGAACCTGCCGGCTACCACTATTACTATTTACTGGGAAGATGAGGCGGTGTTTCAGGAAATTACTCCCCACAAAAGAGGCTGGTAGCGCTTTGTGTCACTTGGATTAACGAGGTGATTGACATAGCGTGTTTAGAATGAGGTGTATCCATTTAGAACTCAATCAGATAGGCCGATGTCAGACTTTGCGAATCGCGCGATTCGCTAGCGTCTGCGGTCGCGTCGCGGCCAGTGAATCACTCAATTGGCTGGTACCGCAACGCGACCGCGGACGCTAGCGAATCGCGCGATTCGCAAAGTCTGACATCGGCCTCGGAAGCCCGACATCATGAAGTCCAGTGATAGGGTCCCATGAAGGAACCCACACCTCTCGAGAACAGTAAAGGAATCGCTCACGGAAAAACCTTTCCCAGAAATCGATACCTTAGCCCCCCTTTCTCTAAGGAGGATAGCCAAGAAGGAAACGAAAACCAATTGCCAGGTTTTGATTATTAATTCACATTTCAAAAGCAAAAAGGGCCTATAAAATAAATTTGAGTTCCCGCCATAAAACATGTCAACAACTGGGCGTGATTGAAAAGCGTAAATGGGTGGAAGATTTTCACGCCAGCGGCTTCATGTGGCCCGCACCGTCCATGCACCTCATCCAAGAAGAACATCCGGTCCTACCCTTCTTGGCACATGCAGTCCAGCAGATGGGAAGAATAGCTTTTCGGTGTACGATTCCTTGAAAAGCTGAAGCGACCAAGGCCAATAACGAAACCCAACGCAATAAGGAGGGAAAAATCTAGAGCACTCAATGACTTTATGGGAGGATTCCATAAAAAGATTCTAGATTGAAGAAGAGGAAATTTCTCTAGTCAAAAGGCAAGTGGATCTCCTGGTGGTGCCAGACGACGCTTGTTTCACAACGATCGATATGCCCCAGCGACTAGCAGGGCTATACTCACGCTGCGGAACGTTCACCCTCTCGTCGTCTGACTCCGGCTGTGCAGAGAGAACGTGCGTTGGAGAGAGCAGCACCGATGAGAATCGCATCAGTACACAAATTAAGGGCAGAGGGTCACCGTGTTTTATCCGTTCATTTCCGCTGTGTGGGAGTCACATCCGTGCTGACTTCAGCACTGTAAATGCTCTGATCTCTCTCCCGCTAATACAGCTGGAGTCCAATTGCGAGGGACGGTTGGCGAGCAGAAAGACGAGACGTCGAAGGAGTTCTGAGGGTCCTACAGGGTCACTACAGGCGTGCTCTTCATTCGCAGAAACACCACGTATCGTTCTTCCGGAGCCACAGAATACACACCTACCATTCGGGACCGTTCGTACAGAGGCGGCGGTCGGCATTTTGTGATTTCGGCAGGGGGTCGCATTTTGGAGATGAGCGAGGTTAATGATCTTTGGAGAAGTGGGAACGGAGGTTGTGAAATGGGGTGGCTATTTAGACGGGTTTTTTTTTTTTTGACGAGTTTGGTGACAGCTCTCCGAAAGCAGCGTTAACTAGACAAAATTGGAGGATTTGCCGCTATACCAACTTACCTCCCCCCTCCGCTCGAGTTGGCCGTTCATTTTGGAGGAAAAAGTGGGCGGAGATGGGCGCACTGTGTCGAGTGGTCTCAGAATCATACAGCAATAAATGGCCGACCGTTGGCAGTCAGTGGTAGGAGGAGGGAGGGAGGAGGGGGGGGGGGCGTCGAGAAGGGTCACATTGGAAGAATCCCCCAAGCTGATTATGTGATTTGGTCGCATTCGAGACGCCTCAAAAGGAGAGGGGCGTACGCAAATTTAAAAAAAAAATGCGGGCGCGACGGTTGACCCTGCACAGAATTCTGTTAGCATAAAATGTTTGCCTTTTTCAACGCATAATTTACCGTGCCACCTACATTTTAATAATAGACTTGTTTTGTTTTGTCTCTGATGCGGGCTGAAACTAATACGTGAATCGTGGAATTACCTCTCAGCGGCTATATGCAGCAGTGTGTGTATTTCCGTTCGCGTCGGCGGCGTCACGTTGAGCTCCGAGAGAGAGAAGCGCTACAGTGGCTGTCCAGTTTCCGTCTGCTACAGCGCACATCATCCAGTTGAGAGTGTACCACTTCTCTGGATGCATGTTCAGCTGAACAAAGTGCAGAAAAATAACGCTAAACAAAGGACAATCAGATTTCTCTATCTCTTCAGAGACAAAGAGAAAAGCAACTTCCACTATCATTGTCAGTACTGAGAATTACTAAAGGACACTTGTCCCCCCCCCCCCCATAGCGATGAGTAAAACTTAATTTAGATGGTTAAATTCTTATGACG